CCAGCTCAATTCGACTTTGTCTCTCGTCGCCTCGACAACGCAATCGCGCCAAGCCAACCGCAGACGCTACAGACCGGCCGGCAAGTTGGGACGTCCAACTTTCGTCTCCACGAGGCCATGTCGGCCCTAGCACTTGACGGCGGGACGGAGGCTCTGAAACTCAAAAACAAGAGAATGCCTAAAGCCGAAGTCGGTTGTCAAGGTCTGAACTCTTTACGAACTCATCTGCCGAGTCTCCGTCAGTTGCCAGGCCTTGGGCCACTCTACAACAGCCTACTACTTGCAGACTTTTCGCAACGTGTAGCTCAGTTGTCTGGGTAAGTGACGAATAAGAGAAAGTACCAAAGGAGTGTTAGTCGGCAAGTTGGTTTTGCCTCGTTATCGCGGCTTGGTTGTGTTGCCAGACCGAATCAGATGAGCCCCCACATGCTAGATACAAGGGATAAGCGGATTTAAAGAATCCTCTTTTAGATAGCAATGCTATGGAGACCGGATTCGAGTCTGGCTGGAGATGCTGATTTTAGGCAAGGTCGAAAATACAATTTGGTCCATGTTGGGTGAGAACACCTTTTGGGATGCAAGGCTATGTGAAATTGATAGGCGTTGTGAGAATTACTTGTGGGAATGTGGACAAATTCAACTACCAGTTTTGCATCACCTTAACGAAGTAGAGTTGATACATGTCATATAGAAAGTGTATTTGTTTGCGTTTGCGAATGCCTAATTCAGAATAAGAGTTTCAGTCAATCGGAGGAGAGCTGTTGAAGAAGACCGACGTGTATGGAGCTTTTATTTCATACAAAAATGCATAAAGAAGAGATCCGTAGATCGATCTGTCTATAAGACAACGGCTGATTCCTGTTGTTCTACAGCCTTGTTTAGCTTCAGCATGAGTCCCAGATTTACGCACTTCATGAGACTTCCGTCATAGTTTCAGGCAAAAACACACAGACACCCACAAATACACACATGCATACAAAATTATTATGATTAGTAAGAAAGTCGACTTACCAAATGATTCTATACCATTAGTTGTTAGTCTTTATTTTTGAGTCTACATGTGGGCTGCGATTGATGCGAATTCGCTCCGGTACAAATTGTTAATTGACGCCTGGCTGCATGTGATATAAGGCAAAATTGGGTATGTAATGTTTCCAAGATTAGAGGGCGGAGAAGCAGACGTTTCTCTTTATGCATGTGTTGATTCATGTCACATCTTCCAGCATATCAACAACCGTATAACATCTTCTCTGTAGATATGAACAAAGGCAAGGATGTAAAGAAGTCGATATTCGAGGTGGAAAACGAAGCGATTGGTGATTACATTAGAACATACATTTTAATGTAAGAGAAATACACAAACGAGTTTATGGCAATTCCCAAAGTGGCATTGATGTTGGAATGCATGAATTAGCGGTAGAGAATATATTTTAAAAACTTGCAGATGAAATAAGGGGAAAGTGGACAGTGGCATCAAATTGATGCCTCACTTATGGGAATGAAATTATTAATATTTGTGCAGGAATCTAAACTAATATTTTTCGTTTATAAGTGGGTTTTCATTACTTCCACTAAGTCAGACACTATCTGATTTACTGGTAGCCTCGAGACCCTACTGACAAAATAATAATAAGAAATGTAGTCGATTGCCGTAGAAAATATATTTTGGAATGACAACAATCCAACCACAGAATTCGATATGAGAAAAAGGCCTGTCTTTCCTTAGAATCCACAACATCCATGTGACCCAAGGGCACTTGTGGAAATCTGGCGTAGTAATTAAAGTGTCAAGATTATGGGCTGCACAACCACGGCTCGAGTCCCGCTAATGGGTCTGCTGAAACCATTTCAGACGAGGTCGAAATTTCCATCCACTTTAGCCTGAAGTAGAATAAATTTGATAAAGCGAAACCATATGAAATTTAATGGAAACGCAATGTTTACTCATATAAATGTAAAAAAATTCAACTAGCCTATTTCATCACCTTAGACGAAATAAGGTACTCTTTTCGCCAGCAGTCACAACAGCTTTATTGCAGCCCATAGATCAATAAATAATCGCAACATTTAAAACATACTACTTACGTACTACTTTTACACAGGCGATTGTTCAAACAACAGGGGACGAGACTTTCTATACCGTAGTGCTCTGTATATAATAAACCTTGGGCCATTAATACTCATGAATTATCCTTATTCTTATCATTGCATTTTCGAGACAACCAGGAAACCAGATATATGGGCTGTGCTCAGCCTATTTCGTTTGAGGCGATGAGGAATGATGATTTATTCTTAGTCTCAACAAACTACTCAAATGAAATATAAGTAATGCCGTCGATTACTATAGCAAATATAATTTTGCTTCATACTCACACCATACTCACACCATAGAATGCGATATGTGAAAATGCCTGTCCTTCCTTGAATTTAAATACCAGTCCCTTTCTCACCTTAAACGAAATCAGGTGAACACAGCTCATATACTTTATTCTATTTTCGTGTCGGCTTAGAGCCAATCCATTCTAAGACGTAAGCAGACTCCTCTAGTCACTTGGTCCTCCATTTCATTCCATACATTTTCTAGTCGCCTACTTTAAAGTCGCTATCCATTCTCTTTGGACTTTTTCACAACTTGGTCATGCTTTCGGGCCACCCAAATAAACGCGCCTTGCCCGAATTTTTCTGCTATACACAAAAGAGTAGTCTGGCCGCAGAAAATATCTACAAATAACATTGTTTTAGCCATTTTCATGCTGTAGCAAAAGATATGATGAAGCGATTCTTCGGTCGATCTCACCAGAAGACAACGATTGATTTCAGATTGGCGCAGTCCAAGAGACATCTTGTGTCGTTTCGAGGCTGGTGAAAGTAATGGATTAGTAAAATACGGTAAATGTAGTGGTGGAGGTAGCAAGTTAAGCAAGAAACGCGTATGTTTTTGTGATAGACTAAATGTCTGTGTGTGAGAGAGAGAGAGAAAGATAATGTTAAACCACTTCTTAAATGAGGGCGATTCAACTTGTCAGTCCCATAATACTTCTTATCACATTCTAAGTCCCTTCAATAAGTCTATTAAGCTCATCATTCAGAGTAAACAATCGCTGCCATGCTTCTGCTTGAATGCGTAAACGCCAATGACGCCGGACGGATGCTTTATAAATATTGGACTCGAGACCTGACACAACCATGTACAGGCCATTATCATTTCTCATGCCTCATCAGCTCAATCAGAGTTACTTTCGAGCTGAAGTCAATTTCAGTCATGCCTTTACTGTTTTGATGAGCCGGGCCTAAAGTTAAGTTATTTTCATATGATTCTGCATCAGGGCCGGTATTTCGTAGCCTGATTTATCAAAAAGATGGATACGAAGACCAAGATGTTGTGGCCGTCATTTTGCTCGCAGTCTCCTTTCCATGTACAGATATAGTCTGACCTCGTTTGCGCAACTTAGTCATGTTGTCAAGGCGACTTAGTTGGACGCACCGTGTCAGATGTCCTCTGTTGTGGTAGTTATCATATTTCCAAGTGTGGGACTGTGGACTTGGTACATTCCGCCGGCGACGTAGTCGGCATCGCAACTCGTCTATTTGACGAGTTTTAGCTTGTAGCTGAGAATGACACGACTCACTGACGACGCTGACCACGATGTCGGCAAAACGTCTGAAAATGTACCAAATCGACGGTCTGATGCTGGAAATTATGCTAACTGCCATGGCAGAGGACTCCGGACAAGGTGCACCCAACTAAGTCGCCCTGAAAATATAACCAAGTTTCGAAAACGAGTTCGGACCACTCTATAAATCCGAAAGATAATTGACTAAATTATTCTATCTATCCAAATATGATTTTTCGTTTTTTCATTATTACTATGATTATGTATGTGAAAGAGAGCTGGTTAATTATTGTGCTAATTTCCATTTCGAGTTAAAATGTTTGGTGAAGAGATTGGAAGTTGTGGATTGGCTTTACTGGAACAATCTTGTTGACGTTATTTCCGATGACGCATTTTGCTGAAAACGAGCTAAGCTGTCACCTGTCGTATGGCGGACATAATAAGTATCAAAGTATCATCATTACAAAAGGATTTTTTTGACTTATTAGTGGAATATGATTGAAAGGATGATACCATCTGCTCTGATATTGTCGGCCATACGAAGTACGAAAGCTTCGGAAACAGAGTTAACAAGAAAGTGCAAAAAATATTGGGATTCGAGAAATACCTTATTTTATAATTGTTAAGCTTACTTCCATTTTCAAGTGAAAGTGTTTGGTGAAGAGATTTGAAGGTCGATTGCATCAGATGAAAGTTTCATGCTGACGCTGTTTCCGAGGCTATCTCCTTCGATTCCGGTAAAAAGGTGCTAAGCTGACTTTTCATCATTTAAGGGATGAAAGCTTAGCATGCAGGTTAATTCTGAAACAGCGTTAACATGAATGTTTTATTGAAGCCAATCAACAGCTGATGAAAAGAAATCCGCCGTCGTCTTCTGGTGGAATCGAGCTGCAAATCTTTTCACCAAACACATTTACTACTCATTTACTTTATAAGTAACCAAATAATGTGTCTAATAAAATCATATTTATGGTTGCCTTGAGGTCTACTTTTATCACTTTGCTGAGAAGATTTTCACTTTGTATGAAAGATGATGATGAAGAGATTCGTCGGTTGATCTCACCACAAGACAACGGTTGATTCCGATTGAACTTCTGCTTTAATACGACATTCAGACTGACGCAGTCCGCGAGACATCACATCTCGTGTCGAGTGATTGCGAGTTGAGCGTTCTTTCGTCAAATGGCAAGCATCATCAGAGTTGAAACTCATTATTTCAACAGTCTAAAGTTAATTCAAAGACCGTTTTCACCTGAAACGAGAAAAAATGTCTTTTGGACTGCATCATCTTGAACTTTATGTTAAAGTCAAATGGCCGCAATGCAACGCTAATCAGCCGTCGTCTTATGGTGAGGTCGACTTTGAACTCTCTTCATTATCCACTTTTATACGAAATGAAAGTCCCACCAACTTCGTATCTACTTACTCACTAGTAAGTAGTAGGTGCATAAATCTGCTGTGCTCCAGTTGGGCTTGTTAAAAGTTACTTTCTAAACGAAACCACCAACAAGAAGTGTGACTTATGTAGAAACATTCCTCATTAGCAAGGTGAATAATACAGATTCCTTATCTTGTACCAGAGCTTTGTCGATGGCCGAAGGCGTAATCTTGCTGGAGGACGCCAATTGTCGTCTGGACTTGGACTCGGCCGTCTGGGGACGCTTGCAATTGGTCGAGGCCGCTTTGCATTGGCTGCACACCAACGGCTACTCACCATCGTCAAGACCACCAACAATACTGTCACGATCATACCAACAGCCACATACCATTCGAGCCATTTGCAGAGACTCGAACCTGCGTTCCAGCCTAACCGTGGAGAGGACTTCGAGAGATAGCATCGCCTCTTGGAGCGACGGATCAAGGCCTCAAACCTGGCTCGGTGGCGCTTCTGAAGAGGCTTTCTGTCCCGATGAGCCCTGGAGACCGCCGACATATACCCACTTGAGGTTCTCGACTCCCGAGGATCTGGCCGTTTGGATGACCGAACTCATGTCGGGCCTACCAGCGTCAAGTTGGTCACCGGAAGTGTTTTTCAGGACTGGCGAGACCGTCTCGCCAGACACACCTTGTGTCTGTGTGCTCGAGGTGGCCTCGGTACCTCCAGACCGTCGGGCAGAAGACCTGCTGGAGGCGTGTCTGTTGTTGTTGACTCGACAGCCGGGCTGGTTCGACGTATACAACTCACTTTTAGGGGGCCCCCAAATCCACGGGCCTCGGCTTGGGCAACCGGAGGCGAAGACGGTCAGTCGGCAAG